GGAAGAGCTTCTTAGGGCTTTTGTATAACCTTTATACAAGCTCTTTTTAGCTTTCTTTAATAAGCTCCATGTTAAAGCTTATCGAAATAAACACTTTTTAGTTTACTTCAGTAAGCTTTACAGTCAAATTTATGACAAAAATTTTCATGTGATAAGCTTATTGAATAAACAATTACTTAACTATCCATCATCACAGACAAATAAACTTTACAGTCAAATTTATGATATAAATACTCATGCGATAAGCTTATTGAATAAACACTTACTTAACCTATCCATCGTCACAGACAAATTCTACTCATATATCATTGAAAATGTGAATTCACTCGCATATACCTGCCAGCACCGCAGGCTTGCATGTGGTTTGGCTCATTAACAATATAATCACATTCTAAATCGCATGCTCAGGATCTTTCTTTCAACCTACTAGGATATCGCAAAGAAGCTATGATACTATGGCACTATAAATTAACGCTATGGCCACATGATAACACTCAAGAGATCCTACAGGCTACATTTAAGAGCACAATTATGTTTTCTAATTAAAGATCTAGTGAAACTATTTAGAACTAGGAAGTCAAGTAAGAGTCAATAAATCACTACTGACCTCACATCCAAGCAATCACTAATCACCACTCATCACATTTTCCATTGGCCAGAAAATAAACCATAGGACACAAGAAACCACCAAATATAGAAGTGAGAACCGTTCATGCACAATTGCTGAGATTTAACATTTAACTAACACACCGAGCTTCCTCTCCATACACTCAAAGTCTTATTCCCGATCTCACTTTTTTAACCGACAACTAGCTTTATCGGTTATTACACACTCTCTTCTACTTCTCTCCTCACTCATTGCACCTACTTTTCACTTTCCATGTAATAATAGATTCCGATTCCGAGATTTTCTACTTCGCAACAACCTACCTCTCTTTCCCTCGAAGCTTCGCACTCGCGATTCACTAAACTGCAACAGTTACTATAAATAGTTCGAGGAATTAAGAGAATAAAAGCACCTCCATGAGAGTGAGCAGAAGCCTCCTGGCGGCGTCGCGGACTGGCTGCTTGGCGTCACCTAGGCGTTCGACGACGGCGGGAACGAGCGCGTTGAAGTGGAGCTTGAAGTGGTCGCCGGCGCGAACGGCGGCGGAGTCGAGCGCCTGGAGCGCGCCCTGCGAGACCTTGAAGCTGCTGTCCTTCAAGAGATCCAGGCAGCAATCGACGAGCGCAGTGACCTCGGCGGCGCCGAGGCTCCTTCTGGAAGCTTCCAGCACCTCGTGGAGGCGCTCGACGCCGGCCATCCTCTCCTTGGCGTCCTTGGCGCGCGCGAGCTCGAGCGCTTCCTCCATCGCGCAGGGTTCGGATCTGGCGCGGCCGGGTGCAGATCTGGTCCGGCTGCTCCCGGATTCAGCGCCGCATGGAGACCGGGAACGGCGGCGAGAGGCTGCGAAATGCGAAATGCAAATGCAAATGCAAATGCAAATGCGAATGCGAATGCGAAATTTAAGAGGTGGTGAATTTAGCGGAGGCGTGAAAGTGAGGGGAGAGGTTGCGGTAGGAGAGAGAAAGAGAGTGGTGGTGGGGACTGGAATTGACGGAGGAGGAAGAGGCGATGGATGATGATGAAGTGAAAATGATTTTAAAACTATGTCTATGTTTATGGGAGTAGCGACTGCTTGCAACTTTAACCCCTCGCCTTCTTCTAATTTACGATCCTTGCCACTAGTATTGCCTTGCTTTAACTTTTTCTTTTTAATAAAACTCTTATTGCATGTCACAATGTGGTGTTTCTCTTTTAATCACAACTGGAGTTTGAGTGTTTCAATGAAATTTGTAATAAATAATTGTATTAAATGTTAACTTGTGTTATTGAGACCAAATTTTCACTTTTAATTTTTTTCTGTTTTGGTTTACTATATTTATATTAAGTTAAAATTAAATATTGATTCAATATAATTTCACCTATTTAGATAACTAATTTTAATTATAAATATGCTATTCAAATCATATTTAGACGAAGAATTTATTTTAGAAGTTAAACTTAAAATAAGTTAATTCTGAATTTTAATTAACTTGTTTATACATGTTAGGCTAAGTAGTTCATAATTCTTACATATATACACGGGTTTTTTTTTCTCAAATTTGCCTTCTTATAAAATTTTTGTTTACCAGAAATAATATATTTATTGAGAGAGCGAGATTATTTTAGTAAAATTATTTTAAAAAGTAACATATTCATTGTTATTATTTATTTATGTGAAAAAACTCTATTTTGAAAAGAGAAAGTAATGTAAAGGGTTAAAAAGTCCTTTCATATTAGTGAGAAATATAATAATATTATATTTTAATATTATATCTTTTTTATAATTATGTATATTTGTGATATATATATATATATATATATATATATATATATATATAATTATGTATGTTGTTTTATGTTATTTTGTTTGTTATAAAGTCTAAGTTAGTATTGAGATAATCATAAAACTTAAGTTATGAAGGGTATACTCAAGGTGCTGCATAAAAAGAAAATTTAAAAAGAGAATTCCATAAGTTTCATAATTAAGATTTTCTAAAAATCTAAGAGAAGGACTTTAAGACTTAAGTTTGTTGTCTAAACTTCTAATCATATCTAAGGTGGATGATTTTATCTAAAACTATAGATTGGAGTATTTTGAAGCTAAAGAAAGATTGTGGAGCTGGGATATTGAGAATCAAAGTCATGAGAGTTTCGGTGAAAAGCATAGGGAGTTTCTCTTCAACTTTAAATATTTTTGTTTGGGAGTTCAATTAAGGCAAGAGAAGCTTGGTTATGATTTATGTATATTGCATAAATGTGTATGTTGTTGTTTTAAGTTGAATCGATGGATGAATTGTTGAATTTGATTATATGCATGTGTTGTTTTTTTAGAGTTTTAAGGGTAAATTCTTACGTGTCGATTTTTTTCCCCAAGCCTTATTACATGTGTTGTTTTCTTGTTGGATTCGTGAAATACATGATGTTTTGAAGCTTTGTAATGGTTTGCATGTCTTAGATGTAGTTGTAGAGCACTTTTAGTTAATGAGCTATTTGTTGTTGAGTAGAATTTAATAGGTTGAAGGCCCAAGTGCTGGGTTTTCAGATTTTTGCTCAGTAGTGGGGTCTCGCTCAACGAAACTTGATGAACTTGATGAAGCTTTGTCGAATGAGAAAAACTTGTTCAACGAGTGTAGGTACCTAGTGCGGATGATAAATGATTGTTCAACTAGGTAATCTCACTAAACGACGGATGATCAATAAAAGTGATGACATGAGGTAGTATGGGTTGCACTAAGTGATGCTTGGTCTCTGACTTTAAGGGCTAATGAGTCTCGCTCAACGATGAGGGGATCACTTAGCAAGAATGGTGTTTGGGATAGAAAATTGAAGTGATTAGCTCAGTTAGAGTTGAGAATTGAGTGAACGTTAGTCTCTATCTAGATGAAGTGTAGAAGGTCACTTAACTAGTTCCTCGTTGTGTGGTGTCTCGCCCAGCAAAACTCTTGCTTTGCCAAATGGTGATTTTGATGTTGTTGAGTTGTTTTTCTTATAGTCATGGAGGCAAGGAATCTAAATGTCGCGAGGTCAAAATATGGGTTGTGTTGTGATTGCTCTTGTTAGGAATGAGTGGTGAGTTTCATATAGCTTAGAGGACTATGAGCAAGAGGCTTTTGTAATGATGTGAGGATTGTAATGGAGTTGTTTATGTTGATTGATGCTTTATGTTGTTAATGTTGATGGTGTGTGTGTGTGTGTTGTAGTTGAGTGACTAAATGTGGGCACAAGGTTGTTGTGGCTATAGTCGAGGCATGCTTTTTATGCTTTGATGCATGTTATTAAGAATGAGAGTAGGGAAGCCCCAAACCTTTAATTCATGATGTTGTGAAGGCTTAATCCCTTCCATTCATGTTGTTTTTGAAAAGCCTTTAAAGTGATTTAAAGGAGAATGATGTGATGTGTTGTTTTACTAAGTTGTTTAGCAGGAGATACCAGATGATTGGATTTTCAGGAGCGTAGTGTTTCGTAGTCCCAAATTAGGGTGTGTTTTGTGTAAAATGTTAGTTCTTGCTTAAACGGTGGTGTGAAAATGGTATGAAGTGAGTTGTTTCATACTAGCTATTGAATGGTCGTGTTTGGATTTTATGAACCTAGATGTTGAGTTGACACGTAAGTCAATAATTGTCACCTGGGATGCATGCCAACCTAGTTTTAGAAGGGTGCATAGTATTTTTCAGGTAGATAATGGGCTAAATCCATAGAGGACTTGGTTTTGTAAACTAATATAGAAATAGGCTAGTACCCAAAGTGTTTTATACCCAACCGATAATACTAAACTTTCTTGGTATACTTGATAGTTCATAAGTTGAGGTTATTACTTTTCAATATGGTTGAGTCAAATAAACTGTTTATTATAGGAGATCTCCATTATTGTTCATGCATAACGATGCATGGTGGCAGATGGCACGATGTTGTGATATATGCAAGTTGTGGCAGATAATATTGTGTTGTGATGTGATCGTGCATGGGTCTTTGATGCTTGATGATGTTCTAAGTATGAGTCTTAGTGTTGTGTGATATATTATCTTTTGTATGCACTACCATGTTATTTATATCTTAAATTGTACCATGTTATTTATATCTTAAATTGTACCATGTTATTTATATCTTAACTTGTCTTATATTAAACTTATTTAGTAATTGATTGTGTTGATTGTAATGTTCATGTATTTGACATAGGAGCAAACCAAATATAACTTAAAGAGTATGACTTAAAGTTGTTGTGGGTCATCATGTGGATGGTTGGAGCTAGAGATAAATAATTTATTAGCTTATATAATTAGAAGATTGACTCAATGAATATTTTGTTGTTAATAGTCATGCATAAGATTATAACCTCATAAAGGATTTTTTTTTTGTTGTTGATGACTAAAAACTATTTTATTACCTTTGTTCAGGTTGTTAGTTGATTGTTGAAATCAGGAATATATACAAATTTTGTATATACGTAATATCTAAGTTTTGTGCAGCATAATGAATCTAAGATATATAATTTCTTTTTGTTATAATATATGACGTGATGTGACATCGTCATATTATTATACGAATATATGGCCTAAAGTTGTTATAATGTTGCCAGAGAAAAAAAAATACAAAACCTAATAATATATGCTTGCATTCATATAAAATTGTTTTTAAAATATAATATACTATACTTCTTATTATTTTGAAATTTGATCAACATATTATTATTATTTTATGCTATTTTTTTTTCCAAATAACACTTAATAGTAAAATTTATAAGATATATTACTCATATGTAGTAATATTTTGTTTACATTGATTATTAAAATAATATATAAATAAACTTAATATCAATTTAATTTTATAAAAATTTAAATTAGTAAGCAAAATATGGATGTACAAATGAGATTATCCCTGTTGTCACAAAGAAATCATTAATGTCAAACCTATGGCAAGGCATATGTGCTGCTTGGGATTGGATTCGACCTAATATCAGGTAGAAGGTTGGAAACGGCAGGAAGGTGCGTTTTTGGCTTGACAATTGGCTGCCTGGTCTAGGTGCAATTATTAATTATGCCTTAGTGTTTATTCCACCGATCGAGATGTCTAAATGTGTTCGTCATTATGTATCATACCAAGGAAAATGGGAAACTGACCATATTCGCGAGCTAGTGCCATCAAATGTGTGGCAATCCATCATTAGTTCGAATATCCCAATAGATTCAGTAGGAACAAATTTTGTCCTTTCGGGTTCAGCTGCAGATGGAGTTTTTTCTGTCCATTCTGCATTTGAAGTATCATCTCAAATATCAAGCCTAGATCACAAGCCCATTTTCAAGGTGATTTGGAGATGGAAGGGCCTGAAAGAACTAGAGCATTTTTTGTGGAGTGTGGCCCATGAGAGTCTAATGACAAATTCCACTAGATTCCATAGGGGTATTGCTTTGGAAGCCAAGTGTCCAGCCTATAATCATGACAATGAGGATACATGGCATGTTCTCCTTCATTGCGATTTCGCACAACAAGTCTGGTCTAAACTTTCAGTTTTCGTTAAGGCAAGAGATTTCTCAAATTCAGATATTCAAACCTAGTTATTGCATCATCTATCTCGGGATCAATCTACCAATGATAAGAGAAGCATTATTTTTGCTACAACTATCGACTGCCTTTGGCATAGGAGAAATCGACTAGTATTCCAAAACACCACAATTTCATCGAAGCAACTTGTTGCAAAAATCAATGCACATGTGAGTGTTATATCCAGCAATTGTGGCTCAGCCCTTGCAGGTTTCATTCCAACCATTTCCAACCCCTCTAATTTTTGGTCTCGTCCCCCTGCCAACCACCTCAAGCTGAATTGTGACGGATCAGTTTTTGTCCGGGGTCTCGCTGTTTGTGGTGGAGTTGTTAGAGACTCAACTGGAGCATTTGTTCTAGCTTATGCATGCAAGCTTGGAAGTTGTTCTATCACCAATGATGAAATATGGGCTATTCTTCATGGGTTTCAAATCATTCAGAATAACAACTTGCTTGGCAGAATTCTAGTTGAGACAGATTCGTTGACAATAGTTAATCCCATATTTCATGGTTATGATCACTCTCATCCAAGTTTCAATCTCGTTAAAGAAATTCAAGAATTGAGTAATCAGGTGCAGGTTGTCTCATATAATCACATCTTTAGAGAAGCCAACAGAGTTACTGATGCCTTAGCTAGAAATAACTTTTCCTTACAAGAGGACATTGTTCTTTTTAATTTTACCCCTAGTTGTATTTATTCCTTATTGCAGACAGATTTATCTACTACTTTCCTTGATTAATTTTAGTCTTTTGGACTTTTAGCCCCTTTATTTACAAAAAAAAAATGTTATACAGTACTAACATAATATAATATAATGTTAACTTTTCTTTTCATAACTCTAAATTATAAAATATCTACAAATATCCACTAGTCCTTATATGACTCTCATTTCATTAATAATTGAAATGAGGGTCGAATATGGAAAAAAAATCTACTTGATCTTGTAATCAAAATAAAATTTGTTTAAAATGGTCCAACAAAATTTGTAAGTTAATAAAATTGAAAAATATATTATTTTGTATGATTCAGTCCTTAATGAATCTATAATTTTCAAAATACCATAATTAATTATTAAATTGTTAAGTTTTTATTTTTTTGGTAAGTTATTTAAATACTACTTTAAACTAAACAATAATTTTAAGTAATAATTCCTTTTTATTTTCAATGTAAAACATTTGAACTAAAGAATATTTTTAGAATTATTATTTCAGATTCCAATTATATAAAAAAAAAACAATAAATTAAATGAGTCAAGTAAAATGACCCATTTCCTTAAAAAAAAAAAAAAAAAGGAAAGTTAAATGGCCCATAATTTATGTAGGCTGGATATAATAATTTAGCCATCATAACTAAGCTAGTTGTATCCTTTATTTGACTCTGCTCACATTGTGTTTGATTGATATAAGTTTATGCCTCTACTTATTAATTTACTATAGTGAATATTGTTGAATGAATATTACTATTGAATGTTGAGTGTCTCTATGTCTTCCCGAAAAATTGTAACACCAGCAATGTTTTATGGAAAATTGCTCATTAAAGCAGCAAACAATGGTTTGATGAGAGGAAATCATCTGCGATGGATGGCTTGATCTGTTGAAGATATATATTTCAGAAATACCAAATGGCTAAAATTAAACCCTCATTCATTCCATTAAAACTACACTGACATACTAGAAGAGATATTGAACATGCACATACAATACATAATGTAGTATATATATGCTATGACTTAACATAGGGAAGCTTAATTAACAAGGGCAAATAATAGTAAAACACACATCCAGCACATACAATTACAATGGAAGTGAAGCTTTTGCTCCTCAACCACAATCACAATCACAATCACATAACTAAATTAAGGTCTCTTAATAGATGTTGGAGTCAATGGCCATGATGGTGCTAAGGTTCATGGGGGTCATAATGTCAGAGGTTCCACTGAAGATGTCTCGCACGATGAAACCCAAAGCACGTTGAGATGGGTGATAAGCGTCCCAAAATGCGTAAGTATCACGGTTTGGGCAAAGGTTTGACACAGCGGTGCATGTTCCCAACCCATTGAAACGACCTTGACCGCAACATGCTATCTTTGATGTAACAAAACCTGCACCCACCAACAATAATACCATTAGTAGTTAGAAATATTGGGTCATAGCAACTTCAAAAATCAAATGGAACCCAAATGAGTAAAATTTAAGTGTAAAGTCATCTTAATCTTGCGTCTTCTTCACTGAATTCAAATTAGATCATGCACTTGAAAAACAATTTGATGGTTTTTTTTTTTAATTTAAATGAGTAAAATTTAAGTGTTGCTTAATTTTTAAAATTACACTTTTTATTATCCAACTTTTAAATTTTTTGTAAATTTAATCATTCCATTAATTTTTCGTATTATTTCATTAGTTACAAAATGATGACATGATATAATATGACGCATTAATAATAAAAAAATTGTTACATTAATAATGGGTCAATGAAAAAAGATAATCAATTAAAAATGATAGAATATGTGAAAATTTAAAAGTTGATCGATAAAATATACAATTTTAGAAATTGGATGAAAAAAGAAATGTAATTAAATTTTGTTTTTTAAGTGCAAATACTAATTTATAATGCGAGGAATGAATGGATTTTGAATAGAATAAAAGAAGTGAAAGAGAGTAAATGTTAAGACCAAATCTCTGAGGGTCGGTGATGAAGTTCATGTTCATTTGGAAGGCATTGACAGCAACGAAAACTTCAGAGCCAACTTGGGAGTTGATTTGTCTGGTCATTTGGACCAAAAGTGGGTTGAAAATTTGTGAAGCTTCTTGTAACTGAGGCACACACTCTCCATTTCTACTCCTTGTAGCAAGCTGAGAAGGAACACAGCCCAATGGACCAGTTCCCGTCACAAGCACCCTTCTAGCTCCCAACTCATACAATCTCTGCATCATCATTTGCATGTAGCACTTAAATTAAATGAGCCCATAAAAGGAAGTAGACGACCCATCAATTATGATTTATAAAGGAAGTAAATTGACGTGAACATAGCTGATTATTTTTTCTTCTCTTGAGATCAAGGACTTGTTTCAGTTGTTCAACGAAAACTCTTTGTTGGTTTTATATCTCTATCATGAATAATGATATACTAACCTCTAGTTTGTGTCCAAATTTTGCACTAATTCACGTACATTTTCTTTTCTTATAGTTTTTATATAAATTATAAGAAAATAAATAATACGATTCACAAAATCAAAAGGTAAATAAACGAAAGTCTATCGAACCTGCGTTATGGTAACTAAAATGTGTCCATTTCTTTTTTGGAGTCTCAAGTTACACCTTACTATGGAGCGAGAAATCATTTTTTTTCTTCTCAAATTTTAGGCTCCACTAGGACCAAGGGGGACCAATTCAAGTAATTAAGGAGAGAAGTGTCGGGGAGTAAAGGGAAAGGAAAGGTATTCAAGTTTCCATTGAAAACTTTGGAAGTGTCTTCATCAATGAGTTACGTTAATGGAGAGAGTTTTTCTGTTAGTTTTACCTTGAAAGTTGAAAGGGAAAGGAAGAAGGAAGTGGGTGTTTTAGAGGCCAATCGTAATCACATATTGTTGGAATCTGTGTGATGAAATAGTATAAGAATGAAATGAAGTACCATAAGAATGTTTCGATACTCTGAGATAAGGTAGCGACAGAACTGAGGGACAGTGAATTGGCGAGACCTGGCAGAGACAGGAGTTAGAAAATAGTTGTTAACAAAGTCGTTACCACCGAGCGTCACGAGCACGAGTGCCCCATTCACGAGTCTCTTTGCCTGCGCTGCACCCACCTCTGCACTTAACCGCTGCTGGTACTGCTCGAACAGCGCAAACTGCTGGAACATTCTCAAGATCCCCACCTACACCAACACCAACACAATTAATTGTGGTTCCATTACATAATAAATTAGTAATAAACAAAATTATGTGCATTTATTTAGTTAAAGACATATAATTTACAAATTGTATGCCGGTGTCGTTAAGGATTCCAATCCCTGCGGAAGCGAAATTGGCCCCAACTAATAGCTTTTGTCCGCTGAGTTGAGGGCTCAAGTAAGGTAAGGTGGATTCAGACCCAATGTGCTGGCCTGGATATATATATATATATCATGGAACAATATAATTAATAATTTAATTTTAATATATGATCGATCATGCATGCATGTCTTAATTTTAACATATGATATAATATATATATATAATGAACTGACTTATAAGGTCAGGGAGGTTGTAGCCATTGGAGAAGCGACCGGTGGGGCGATGGGTGGGATAATCGATGCCGTAGGGAGGGGAGTCCGCACGTGCGGTGGTTGGAAGGTAATCGTTGTTGCCACTGTCAACCAGGGAGTCTCCGAACACAAAGAAAGCGCGAGCACCTTCTGCTCTTTTTGTGCAAACAAATGTTACCACCACCACCAGGCTCAGCAGCCTCATTAACACCACTCTTGTTCCTGACATCATCAACACCTTAATTACTTATATTATATCAATAATATATGCTTCTTCCCAATCCTCTAATTCTGCCTCATTCTGCATTCTAGGATTGCTCTTATATAACCCAATGCCATGCCCCTCTCTCTTTTTTACTTTTCGGGTTATTTATTATGTTCCATGCATTCTGTTACTCTCTCACTCTCCGTCTCGCTCTCGCTCTCACCCATGTTTTCTTACAGTCAATAAATGTTTTTTTGTAAATTAAGATTTAAACATGTTCATATTCAACTTGTTTGACTTTAATAGTAGGCCAATCCCAACATATATACGATTTATAATGTCACAAATCTCATGAATTCCGAACTTGAATCACAGTACTACTAGTGCTAGTTCACAGGAAAAGTAAACAAAAGCACTTTTATGTTTATGTTTATCACTTTGTATTACTAGCCAATCGTTAATTAATGTCAAATATTATTAGTTTTTTCACCGACAATTAATTAAACTCTGATAACCTGTCTGGCGTGCTCTCTCTACATGCAAATGTGGTTTATATACATACACGTATATGTAAACAAAAAATACTCAAATAAATGCATTATCTGATCTTCCATTAAGTACTAGTAGTAGCAGCATGTGCAATAATTTCCTAATAAACAAAATCTTACATTGTTACAATATAGGGATCAACACGGGTTTACAAATTTTCATAGATTTTTCATTGGAGTAAGATCTATTGCATGATGATTAAAATAAATTTACGAGAATTTAAATTTAAAGTAAATAATATATATTAATATAAAGATATGTGTAAGTCTCTGTTGAACAATAATAAAATACTTTTCTTAAAAGATGTATTTACAAAATAAAGTAAAAATTATATAATCTTTAACTAGTTTTTATATGATATGTAATTAACTTTTTTCTTATAATAATTAAAAAATTGGTTGATGAAAACTATTGACACTTGATAGTTTAAGAGTACCTAATAATTTTACATAAAGATAATTTATTAATGACATGTTTTAACCGTAATTAATAAATCTGACTATATATTGTTTTAAAAAAATTGAACATGAAATTAATCCTAAGTATGTTATGTGTCTTTCCTTTGGTTTTTTTTTTCGATGAGAAACATTAATTCCTTTGGTCTATTACAATATCTCCACTCTACATTGTATCATATACTTCATTTTATTAAAAATGGAAAATAATTTGTTATAGAGTTTATGAGATTCTCAACACTTCTGATTCCAAATGGATCTATTTAAAATATTTTTTATTTACAAAACTCAAATTAGGAAAAGTGGTCAAGTCAAGTGATTGACGTGTTGCTACTTATTATGGGTTAGTGGGTTACGGCTAATATGCCCATAAAGATTTGAAGTTATTGCATTGACAAACGAGGAACACCGAACACACTTAATGTTCTGTTCTCCATGCTACACTATATCAACCAAGGATATTAGATAAACACCCGAAATTTAATGCACCAAGACCAAGCAGTGTCCTTTTTCAATTTTGTTATTCTTTTACTACTATCTTCCTTTTGCTATGTATGCCTCTTTAGTATTGCAAAATTTAATATATAATAAGGAATATGATACAAACCTATAAGGTAGTTGCTATTGAAATAGGACCTTTCTGAAAAATCTTCTCATTGAATGGCTGTATGATTGATGAACACTATTCAGTTCATCTTTATTCGTCACCTTTTTATGAACATTTTTTATAGGAGGTAATTTTGTTCTAGATAACATTTATGATTTATGAGAATATTCAAATCTTAATTTATCATTTCATAAAAATATAATTTCTATCCAATGGTGTAGCTCAGTAAGCAAGACACACCAAAAGTTTGTTAGGAAGAATTTAGGTTTAATTCTTATAGAATACATATTTAAGAAGAGACGATGAGCTTTAAGTAATTAAGTGTGGGTATTAAGCCTTGAACCATTGATTGGTTTTGTAGCTGACTTAAAGGACCGAATCTTGTAATAATATCTTGAAATTTCACTAATTATGGTAATTGTAAAAAAATACTTTTATTAGTCTAATCCTCACGAATACTTATATTTGTTATTTAATATATTATCACATTTATAAAAAAAAAAAATTAAGAGGGCCATTAAATAATATTAATCATAAATAAAATTATGATAACTAACCGAATTATTATTTAACAAATTTAATAAAATAAGTATATAACAATTTTTTTAATTGGATCATTAAAAAAAAAAAACTTGTGATTCAATTTTTCCGTTGAAATTTTGCATCCCTTGTCTGTCGGTCTTCAATATAGCTGGGCCTAAGATGGATAACGTGGCATTAGTATGTAAAATTTAATGCAAAGGGTGAGACTCACAGCAATTATATACTCCTAGTTCTATTGCCCATTTAATTTTTTCATTATAATTTTAATGCGTACATATTTTATAATTTTTATGAATATATATAAATTTTAACATTTTTTTATTAATTTATATTATATGTGCCAAAAGAAAAAAGATAAATATTGCAAATTCATAGAAATAATATAAATCGAATTAAAATATCTATTTATATTTATTATTTATTTTATTTTATATTAGGAACCAATTCTTTACATTAAGTATTTCTTTTGAATATAAATTTATAATCGAGATCAATTATATATTTCAATTTTTTTTATTTTTAAAATTCTATTCAACTTATATACGAAAAACGGAGATTGTGTGCTCATAATTTGGTAAACATCAATTTTTTTTTAATCATAAGATAAATTTAACGTAAAATTTGCACCTAAAGTTAATTTAAGTAAGTTTTCTACATCTTAGTTTTTTTTTTATAAAGATTTTAAGCTTAATTTATCTTCATAAATCTGACTAGTAAAAGAATGGTTATTTGAGTTTTTTTTTTAATGTGCTTTTAAGCTTTATAAATTCTTATGATATATTATCTCTAATTAATGCGGCTTTATTATTTTTTTTTTTAATACATGCCTTCTATGTCAACATTAGTTGGAATTTGAATTTAGCTTGTGAATAAGGATGTGAATAAGGATGACAAAAATACCTGCACCCGCATGTATATGCGGGTAAAATTTGCTACGATAATAAATGGATAGGCTAATTGGGTACTCGCGAATAATGGGGACGGATAATTTTTTACCCGTTTATAAACGGGGCGGGGGCGGGTATGATGATATCCATACTCGCGGGTATCCGTTTAATAATTTCTTAAATATTCTAATTATATTTGTACCACATAACCCTAAAACTATACTCTCTCATCTTTTTTTCTTACAAAAGAGAGGTTGATTAAGTTACCAACATGCGTTAAGCATGTTATAGAATTATGTTGGATGTAATTTAATTAATTTTCTAGCTTTGATTGGACCAATAAAATTTATGTATTTTAAGTTGTTTACTTGCGTTTAAAATTATAAGAGATTGAATTATTGTAGCTTTGTGATGAGACTTTAACTTACTTGTGAGATAGATGTATTTTATGTTATTGATTATCTTGCATTTTTATTATTATTTCAACAAAATTAACGTTAAATACAAGTTCAAAATTAACATTGAATTTTTATTTTTAATATTTCAATGACATTAAATATAAACTTAAAATTATTTGTAATATAATTTTTTAAATTTCTTAAAAAATTTATAAATATCCATGGATATCTGTGGGTATTCAAGAAATTCATGAATACCCGCTTAATAAATACTCGCGCGGATATGAGATGGATATGAAACCAATTTTTATCCAACGAGACTAGGACAGGTTTACTATTACCTGGCCTATGGGCCATTGCCATCCCTACTTGTGAATAATATAACAAGTAATCAAATGATAAATTTAATATATACTTTGATACTATATTTAGGTTTTAGGTCAACATCATTTTTACCAAAATAACTTGAAAAGTGAGGAGGTAGTTTAACTTAAGAAAAACAAAAACTTATGTGCTCATTTTTTAAACATTAAAAAACAATATTATTTTTATCATAACATATTGTGATACCATGTTAGATATTTGACTATTTTATTCCCACAAAAGGGACTCAGAAAGAGAAGGTAACTATACTTAAAAGTTCTTAAACGGGGTAAGATACACGATTAATTTATTCACACCAGTCTAATCAAATTACTTCATTCAAAACGCGTAACTTACCTACTTAAAGTGCTCTTAAAAGCACTGGTAGCCTCTATAAACAGATATTTTCACAGATTACGTAAATCATCATGATTGGCTTGAAAATATCCACACGAAAATGTCGACATCTTGTCACTGTATTTTTGTAATGCATGCGTTAAATTTGATTGGAAGGACAAGAGACCTTATTGGACAAGAGACCTTATTGTATTTATTATGTTAATTAATTAAGGACAACAGATTTTCTAGGCATTAAATATTTACCCAAGTGATGATATGATATGATACTACTAGAATGCTATTGCTAGGTGCAGGCACTTGGGTCACTTTCTAATATTAATGATGAAATGCAATTGTTGATCATCCGAACGACTATTATTATTATGTAACTGTTTTTATTTATTGGGTGGGTAGAAAAAGCACTACATGGAGTTGAGCATCCACGTGAAGTCGTGAAGTACATAAATCGACAAAAGAAAAAAAATTACAGTAACAAATGACTGAGGCTAAGCAGCGAAGGTAGATCGATCGATCATCCATCTCAGTATTTTCCCATTGTTTCAACTGACAGACACACCACTAGCTGGACAAAGCTAAGATCAAGATGACGTTTTCCACATATAGGAAATTTCCCAACTTTGTCAAGGAAAATAGTATAACGTGAATTGCAAATTTCATAATAAGCTAATAATTTACCATGTTAATTGCATTATCTACACTCAAAACTTTGATTGAATTAATCGCCATAGATGCTTTAAGGATGGTGTGGACTAATGATAGTCTAGCTTTGCAAATGTTGCTAGAGAAAAGGTTCTCGGAATGCGTTTTTCTATTATATGGTTTAGAGGAATAACGTATTTTTATCGGATAAATATAATTTTAATATTGATGAGAATCAATTCTATAGATATTAGACCAATCTTTATGTTTCATGACATGTCTTAATTATAATTACTGGATCAAAAGGCTTAATTTGTTAAAGTACATTTG